CAATCATTGACTCCTTCAAATCCCCAGGACACTGATTTAGTTATTGTTTCAATTTACTGAACCAAGCTCTCTGATAGGCAAGGCCTTGAAAATACTCCTCATGTTTCCTTCGTCATATGTATGTTTCATCCTCTATATGATTGAATGGAAAAAAGCAATTCTACTTAAGTTTCTCATTCATTTTCATTTGAATTAGCAGATGTTTTATGGGTACTACAGCCAACTATTTAATTTGTAATATGGAAGAGCCTATCATAGCAATTTATGTTTTGCTCTATTGTGGTCTTAATTTTCTCCAAAATGTTAGCATAAAAAAATTGAATGCATTTTATTTTCCAAGAACATGATTGAGCTCATAAAATTGAAATATTATTTCTAAATAGGGCTTTTTTTGTCCCCCTGAAGAGGGATTGAGGGAAAGAAAAAAGGGAAGTAAAGAGAAGAAGGAAGTAATGGAGCAGTGAAGCTCTTGGCGTGCCAAAGAACAAGACCCACTGTGAGAAAAGATTATGATGCACGGGAGAATTAGTTCATATGAAAAACATTATTTTTTTCGAGAATAATGTTATTCATACCTTATATATATATTACATTTTAATGCATATATTCATATGGTTTTTGCAGAAGATTTGGATAAATGGCAGGACATACATATATTACAACTTACATTATATTTATGTATTTGAATTTTGTAACTGAGGCAGTGTACCGGATAATTCCATGTCAACTCAATGGGAGCTAAAGTGATCTGAGAGGAGGGAACTTTAATTAGAAAATGTCTCCATAAGACTGGTCTGTAGGCAAGTCTGTGAGGGCATTTTCTTAGTTATTGATGTAGGAGGACCCAGTCCATTATGGGAGGTGACACCCTTGGGCTGGTCCTCCTGGGTTCCATAAGGAAGCTGACTGAACAAGCCAGGGGAAACAAGCCAGTAAGCAGCGCTCCTAAATGGCCTCTGCATGAACTCCCTTCTCCAGGTTCCTGTCTGAGTTCCTGTCCTGACTTCCTACAGTGATGGACTGTGATTGTGGAGGAGTAAACCAAATAAACCCTTTCCTCCCCAGCTTGCTTTTAGTCACTGTGCTTGATCACAGCAAGAGTTAACCCTGACTAAGGCAGGCATGATGGGAAAATTATGGAGGCGTGAGAACACCAAGCCTCCCACTCGGAAAATCTAGTTAAAATCTTTAATCAAACAAGAAGCAAGAATCCCAGCACAATTGCCAACCATTTAAGGTCTTCTCCCTTTCCAGCTGTAAACATACAATTTCCTAGGCGTCTCACCAGGAACCACATTTGCATCGGAAGCACACACACTAAACCCCTTGTGCAATCCTAGTGGGACAGTCATCACAGAGATGGCCCCTGCATTGACTGAACACATTAGTGATGAACTCCAAGTCGCCAAGAGTGCATTGGTGTCACACGAAGGAAGGAAATCAAAACTCTTCCCCTTGGAGACATTTAACCAAGTGTGAGTACAGACTTGAGTTCTCTGCTTCATGTGCTCCGTGTCTCGTGTCTTCCCTCCTCTCCCTGCCCATTATGTGAGTCTGAATCTGTGCCTGTTTGAAGGCTGTCTGGAGAAGCTGGCCCTGTGTCTGCCCGTTCTTGTATGTCTTTATGTGTTTTGTGACTGTGTGTGTATGTGTGTGCATGTCCCTCACAAAAGGCTTCTTTCTGCCTTTATTGAATAGCATAGAGTACAGGGAAGGAATGGTACATTCCTTTATAGAAATCTTTAACAGAGTTTTACAGTGGATTAAGTCACTGACTCCAACCGACCAGACAACAAATAGCATTCCAAACATCATTGTTGATCAACCAATATCCATAAAGGGATGTTCATTTTAGAAGATTGCTTTTTAACCTCGGTATTCGCTGCTTTCAGTAAATGATACAAATGCCATTTTCTGGGTCAGGGGCATCAAAGAATACATAATTTAAGATTATAGCTATGCATAAGCTTAGGCTGTAAATGTGGATGGGATACCCAAGGTGAGTAAGGTTGGTTGTTACATTCTTCCCCGAAAGGCAGGTTAGACAAACAGTCTGAGTACACAGTAGAATAGCAGTCTTAAGTGACCTCAAGGTGTTTTATTAACTTTGATTGTGAGGTCCAGCCAAAGTTCCAGTCTCTTAGAATATAAGAGATATTTTCATAATATTGTATTGCCACATTCCCCGTGTCTTATTTACAGCTAATCAGACATGATGCTCCTTGCTTTGAACTATTAAATTTGGGGTAACTCCCTATGAAATAAAAGATAGCTAAATTATAATCCACTTGCAGGATTGCTTGGTGATTAAAATGACAGCTAAATAAAACCTTCATTAGCTTTTGTCCACCAGAACTATAGCCAAAATGTATATAAATTATTCTGTTACTGCATTACATTTTTGATGTTTTGATCATTTTTGGCTCTTGTTTTTTTTTCCTCTAATTTTCCCCATTATTCCTCACTTGAGAGTTTACATTTCAACTTTCAATTCATGACAGAAGCATCATCAAGAAACGCACTCCTTTAATCCCAGCACTCGGGAGGCAGAGGCAGGAGGATCTCTGCAAGTTCGAGGCCAGCCTGGTCTACAAGAGCTAGTTCTAGGACAGACTCCAAAGCTATAGAGAAACCTGGCTCTGTGCTGGGGGCAGGGGAGAAAGAATGGTTTCCTTTATAAGAGTTACCATGACCATTGTGTCTCCTCACAGTAATAGGAATTCTAACTATGACACTGGGAAATGACAGCTATTCTAATGAGAGTCTATCTGTGAGTCTGTGATTCTCACTTCATCAAAAGAAGGCCATCAAGTCTAAACAGTAGGGGTGACAGGTAGCACATCCAGAGTAACAGACATATATATAACCAAAGGACTGAAATGTCCTCTTGCTGCAACCCAGGAATATGAGAGCGAGGGGCTACTCACGAAGCACCTTGCAAGGGACTTCTCTCCCTGCCTCTGAAACTGAAAAGGGACCCTCACTCTGCCTAATGGCCCTAAACTCTCTCAGAGGCCCTGCAGTCTACTGTCTGCGGTGTCAATAATTCTAATAAACTGCTTACACAAAAGGTAATCTGCATCAGTGTTCCCTTGAGCCCTTAACATGGACCTCAAAGAGAGAGCTGGTTTCCTCAGGAATAGGCGAGTCTGCAGCCTAGGCCCTTTCTACTTGACTGCGCTGTGATGGGGGGGGGGGGGTCACCGGGGGGGGGGGGGGG